GTCTTGGGTGACCCCTTTGACACCCCCTCACAACCCCCTCAGGGGTCCCGACCCCCAGGTTGAGAAACACTGGTTTAGGGCTTTAGAGGTTAAAACCAGCACTGTGAATTGTGTTCGGAAGCTGATCGGCAGCCGGTGGAGCTCGCGTAACAGTGGAGTTGTACGCTCCCTGTACGCTGCTCCGGTGAGTAGCCTGGATGCCAACCATTGGACTAATTGAAGCTTCCAAGAGGTCTTCAAAGGCAGCCCCACGTAGAGAGCCTTGCAGTAGTCTATTTGGGATATAACAAGAGCATGGACCACCTATCCGTACTCGCTCTGTGAATCCTCAATTGTACGCAACTACTTGATCTAGCTGACATTGGACCTCCATGATCCATCAGGCATCCATCAAACTGCATCCCACCCAGGCGCACCCATTTTCGGGGAAGGACTCACAAACAGACGGAAGACTTTGAATTCACAGATCACAGTTTATTACATTGTTGTTAGGAATTGTGGGAGTTGAAGTCCAACCTGGAGGGCCCAAGCTTGCCCATGCCTGCTCTATAGATGTAATGCAGCTTGACCTGCTATGGAATCGTAGGGTTTGTAGTTGGGTGAGGCTCCCATATTCATGAACCCTCTGGATATGTTGTTGTTTAATTGGGGACAAGTGGACCTCAACTGTATGAAGGAGAGGCTCCTCCAGGTGCAGCTACACTGTAGAGTTAATGCAGTTTGGCTCTGCTTTGCCCTCACAGCTGGGTGCTATGGAATCCAGGGAGTTGTAGCTTGGCACTCTTTGGCAGAGGAGGCTGAAGAAGTCCTTGTGAAACTCCATTTCCCATGCTTTGCATAGCATCCAGCCATGGCAGCTCAGGTCTTGCAGCCATGGGTTCCATAGTTGAGCCTCTAATGCCATCAATCATAGGTCTCTTTGGGATTTCCTGTGAGGATGAGGATGATGATGATGGGTCATGGCTCAACAGAGTAATAGCAACATCTAGTGGAGAAGAGATAGGGCATGCATGTCCCAATCCATTGATCAAGTTGCCTTGATTTGGAGAAGTGAGAAGTTTTAGGGTTGTACTACAACTTCCAGGTTCCCCCAGCCAGCTTTGATGAAGCTTCTCCTCCTCCTCCTCTTTCTCTTCCTCCATCCCTGTCTTCATTTCCTCTCCTCCTCCTTCTCCACATCATCTTCACTTCCTCTTCTTCTCCTTTTCCACCTCCCCCTCCTCATCCTTCTTCTCCTTCTTCACCCTTTCTCCTTCTCATCCTTCACCCTCTTCATCTCCTCTCCTCCTGCTTCTCCTCTTCCTCTACATCATCTTCTTCACCTCCCCTCCTCCTCCTCGTTTTCCACCTCCTCCTCTTCTCCTACTTCTTCTCCTTTCCTTTCTCCACCTCTTGTTCTTTTCGTCCTTCACCCTCTTCACCTCTTCTCCTCCTGTTTCTCCTCTTCCTCTACATCATCTTCCTCACCTTCCCTTCTCCTTCTCCTCCTTTTCCACCTCCTCCTCTTCTCCTACTTCTTCTCCTTTTCTGTTTCCACCTCTTGTTCTTCTTCTCATTCTCCTTCCCGTTCTTCACCTCCTCTTCTCCTTCTCCACATCATCTTTTCCACCTCTTCTCCTTCTCCACCTCTCCTTCTTCCCCCTTTTTACCCCGTCTCCTCCTTCTCCACATCTTCTTCTCCTTCTCCACCTCTTCTTCTTCTCCTCCTTCTTCCCCTTCTCTTCCTTCTCCACATCATCTTTTCCACCTCTTTCTCTCCTTCTCCACCTCTTCTTCTCCTTCTCTTTCTTTCCCTTCTTTACCTCCTCTCCTCCTTCTCCACATCATCTTCTCCACCTCTTCTTCTTCTTTCTTTCTCTTCTTCTTCTTTTTCTTTTTCTCATCCTCCCCCTTCTTTACCTTCTCTCCTCCTCCACATCATCTTCTCCACCTCTCCTTCTTCTCCTCCTTCTCCTCCTCCTTCCCCTTCTTTACCTCCTCTCCTCCTTCTCCACATCATCTTCTCCACCTCTTTCTCTCCTCCTCCTCCTCCTCCTCCTCCTCCTCCTCCTCCTCCTCCTCCTCTTCTTCTTCTTCCCTTCCCCTTCTTTACCTCTTCTCCTCCTTCTCCACATCATCTTCTCCACCTCTCCTTCTCCTCCTTCCTCCTCATATTCCTCCTCCTCCTTCTCATCCTAGTGAAACCATCATCCGGACTTTAGAGAAACTGTCCTCAAAATAGGTTCACCACCTTACAGCACTGCCTTGAATTTCAGATTGTAGAATTACTGCAGTTGGATACCACATTCACTGCTGTGACTCAATTCTATGGAGTCCTGGAAGTTGTAGTTTGGGGAGTACTCTTTGGCAGAGAAGGCCACCTTTGGAAATGACATGACTCCATAACATTGGGCCATGGCACTTAAAGTGGGCTCAAGCTGCATCCATTCTACAGTGTAGATGCACCGCTTTGTCTCAGAGGGTCATCTCCGTAGAGGACAGTTTGCAAAGGGAGTGGCCGGACCCTTGGCTGCGCTTTCCTTGTTCTAATTTGAGAGAATCCACCTGAGTTTGGATGGGTGTTGCCAACCATCTTCTGAGCAGGGGATTAGTTTGCAGCCGGACTCAGAATAACTCCTGTTGCGGGGAAAGGCTTTGCCAGCCAATACAAGGGGAGAGCAGCCCTGAGAAACCCATACCGGGCTTGTTCTTCTCTCGCTAAACAGGGCAGGGTGGGACCGAAGGGCGAATGCCAGCCAGGATATTTAAAGACGGGCTATTTTAATGGCATGGCATAGCATGGCAGGAAAGGACCCACAAAGGGAGGTGTGCAGAGATCCTTTGTGCTCCTCTCTTGGCAAGTTTTGATTATGGGGGTGGGCTGTGTGTGCATCTACACTGGAGAATGAATGCAGCCTGAGATCACTGTGACAAAATCTCAGCCAGAACTAAATAATAATAAAGGAATACCCATCAAAAAAGTAGAGCTTTTTATTATATGGGTCTGTGAGGTCCTCTGTCTGTCTGTCTGTCTATCTACCCTATCTATCTATCTATCTATCTATCTATCTATCTATCTCAACTACCTACCTCTCTCCTGTCTGTCTGTCTGTCTGACTGTCTGTCTATCTATCTATCTATCTATCTATCTATCTATCTATCTATCTATCTATCTATCTCATCTACCTACCTACCTATCCACCCTATCTATCCACCCTATCTATCTATCTATCTATCTATCTCACCTACCTCCTTTCTATCTATCTATCTGTCTGTCTGTCTGTCTGTCTGTCTGTCTGTCTGTCTGTCTGTCTCACCTACCTCCTATCTATCTATCTATCTATCTATCTATCTATCTATCTATCTCACCTACCTCCTATCTATCTATCATCTATCTATCTATCTATCTATCTATCTATCTATCTATCTATCTATCTCACCTACCATCTATCTATCTATCTATCTATCTATCTATCTATCTATCTATCTATCTATCTATCTATCTATCTATCTATCTCATCTACCTACCTATCTACCCTATCTATCTATCTATCTATCTATCTATCTATCTATCTTCTATCTATCTATCATCTATCTATCTCTTTTTAAATTGTTATTGCACTGTCTTTTTTGTCTAAATGCACTTAATTGTTTTTGCTTTTGTATTGTATTGTATTGTATTGTATTGATGGCATCAAATTGTGCCAATATGTAGGCCGCCCTGAGTCGCCTGCGGGCTGATATCGGCGGGATATAAGTGATGTAAATAAATAAATAAGTAAATATCTACCTATCTATCTATCTATCTATCTATCTATCTATCTATCTATCTATCTATCTATCTATCTATCTATCTATCTGCTCATCTATATATCTATCTATCTATCTATCTATCTATCTATCTATCTATCTATCTATCTGCTTGTCCATCCATCTATCCATCCATCCATCTGCTTGTCTGTCTGTCTGTCTGTCCATCGATCTGTCTATCTATCTATCAACCATATGGTTCTGTATGCATCTGATATCTGCCTGCCTGCCTGCCTGCCTGCCTGCCTGCCTGCCTGCCTGCCTATCTATCTATCTATCTATCTATCTATCTATCTATCTATCTATCTATCCTACACTGTTGTTTTGTTGGATTTTTTGGTAAATCATATTGATGCAAAGCATCCACAATCAATTCTGACTGTCTATGTGTTGGGCACATTTACAGACAAGGAAATCAACATTTATTACATTCAAGGAATAAGGAAATTGTCGTTTAGTGTGTGTTTACACTGTAGAAGGAATGCAGTCGGACTCCACCTGAGCTGCCAAGGCTCAATGCAATGGGATCCTGAGAGTTGTAGGTTCCATAACATCAAAACAGAACCTCTCCCCCTCCTAGAAGCCAAAGCCCCACTGCGCATGCACTAGGACAGTGACAAACCAAGGCTTTGGAAGAAGAACAAAAACTCTTTTAGGAAAAATCCCTAAGCAGGGAGAGGAAAATATCTACCCCCCCCCCCCCAATGAGGACGGATTGTACTCAGTGGGTACGGGCAGTGGACCAAGTTTTGGAACGGAAAAATTGGGTAGGAGGCGGACATAAAACAGAACGGCTGGAAATACAAACAGAAGGACCTAGGATCATAACATTCATCGTACATCCTGCTTATAAATATTATTAGGAAAGTAGTAGTCACAATGTTAATAAAACCCAGCACAATGTTGTTGTTTGAACATTAGGCTCTGGAGGTTTGAATCCCTGTTCAACCCACTGGACAAGTCACACTCTCTCAGCCTCCAAGTGTTGTGAGATTTCAGCCCAGCTCAGCCATGGAAACCCAGTGAGTGACTTGAGCAAATCATACTCCCTCGACCTCACAGGGAGGCAAAATGCAACCTCCTTGGCCCCAATCTTGCCATGATAGATTTGCCTTAGGGTCACCATAGTTAGAAATGGAAAGTCAGAGTACTTTCAGAGGAGTCAGGTCTTCCAAATGTAATGCACCTCTTTCTCCCGTCTTTTTCTTTAGGAGCTGTCCTTCGCTGTTCAAGAGAAAGAAAGAAAAACCAGGTGAGTAATTCATGCTCACTGAAAGGTCATTGTATACATTGAATAGTTGTAAGTGGGAGTCTTTATCAGGAGCTTCCTTGAAAGCAGAGTTTGGAGACGTAATGTTTCTGGACTGAGTTCTCCATCCAATGGGACGACTTTTGCATGAATTTATTTAAGCCATGCATTTTGCAATAAGGTAGCTTCCTTCAGTTTGCAATCATAGGGCCAACAACTTGGCAATCATCGTTAGGATCTTTAGACCCGCCCTTTTCCCAGGGTTTTGGAGGCAAAGGAGAACCTTTGTTCAGTCTCACTGTTTGAAGCCTAACAGCAGGACGTGTGGGATTCTCTTTCCCACCTGCAGAAAAGCTTCACTTCTCACAGCTCTGCTGGGGGAGTAAAGGAATTTCCACAGCCAGCTTTTGCTGGGGGTTAAAGAAATAGATCCACAGCTCTACTGGGGAGTAAAGAAATAGCTCCTACAGCCTTTGTGGAGAAACTGAAAGAAACCTTTCAGCTTGGCATATCTACAGGAACCTTAGAATCATAGAATCAAAGAGTTGGAAGAGACCTCATGGGCCATCATCCAGTCCAACCCCATTCTGCCAAGAAGCAGGAATATTGCATTCAAATCACCCCTGACAGATGGCCATCCAGCCTCCGTTTAAAAGCTTCCAAAGAAGGAGCCTCCACCACACTCTGGGGCAGAGAGTTCCACTGCTGAATGGCTCTCACAGTCAGGAAGTTCTTCCTCATGTTCAGATGGAATCTCCTTTCTTGTAGTTTGAAGCCATTGTTCCATTGTGTCCTAGTCTCCAGGGAAGCAGAAAACAAGCTTGCTCCCTCCTCCCTGTGGCTTCCTCTCACATATTTATACATGGCTATCATATCTCCCTTCATCCTTCTCTTCTCCAAGTTAAACATGCCCAGCTCTTTAAGCCGCTCCTCATAGGGCTTGTTCTCCAGATCATTTCAGTCGCCCTCCTCTGGACACATTCCAGCTTGTCAATATCTCTCTTGAATTGTGGTGCGCTGAATTGGACGCAATATTCCAGGTGTGGTCTAACCAAAGCGGAATAGAGCATGGGGAGCATGACTTCCCTAGATCTAGACACTCGGCTCCTCTTGATGCAGGCCAAAATCCCATTGGCTTTTTTTGCTGCCACATCACATTCCTGGCTCATGTTTAACTTGTTGTCCACGAGGACTCCAAGATCTTTTTCACACGTACTGCTCTCGAGCCAGGCATCATCGTCCCCCATTCTGTATCTTTGCATTTCGTTTTTTCTGCCTAAGCGGAGTATCTTGCATTTGTCCCTGTTGAACTTTGTTTTGTTAGTTTTGGCCCATCTCTCTAATCAGTGGTAAGGGACCTCTCAGGCTATCCATAAAGCAGCTTGGAGCCGGGAGTAGGGGCCTCACGCCAGCAAGGTAAAGAGAGATTGCCCAGGGAGGAGTCAAAGGATTTCCCTAAGGAAGAAAGGAACAGTTGACCACCAGTTGCCTGTCCCTTGTTGGCAGATTGAGGAAGCTACGGTTTTCCAAGGTTATAAAGTGTTTAATTCATTTGTTTGAAAATTTAAGTCCAAATAGAGAACTTTGTTGAACTTATCTTGACCCTCAATAGAACTTTGTGTTGGGAAATCTAAAGGGCCCTTCAGCTGAGGCACCCCGGTGTCCCGTTGGGCATATGGAGAGCACGTCCTGTAAACAGACATTATTTCAGGCCCAGCATGCGACAGCACAATCTGCACTGTGGAATTAACGCAGTTTGGAGCCACTTGAACTGCCGCAGCTCAATGCTATGGCATCCTGGAAATTGTAGTTTGGTGAGACCCCAGCACTCTTTGGCAGAGAAGATTATGGTTTAGATCCAACATAGGATCCAGGTCTTTTGTCTTCAGCTCTCACAATTCCTAACAGCCTCGGGTTGTTCAGGTAAACTGTTCTGGTACAGACGTACCAGGAGCTCCAAATTTATTTGCTTTGTATTAAATGTTTGGTTGCAGTCCTGGGTTTCAGGGACTCTGCAGATAGGTGGCTTCTTTTGGTTGCAGTCATAGGGCAAGTCACCTGTCCATCATTGTTAGGTTTTGGTTCCGCCCCTTGCTCAGGGCAATTGGGAAGGGAAAGGAGCCATTTTTTAGTTAGTCTCAGCAAGGAAAGCAAATGTACAGGATGTTGTGCAAGCCTCCCCTGTACAAAAGCTTCAACCCTTAAGACTTTCCGGGGAAAACAGTCTTAAGACCAAACCAGAGAACTCCAAGGAAGCCTCCCCAAAGCTTTGAGGGCTTTCCGGGGGAAAACAGTCTTAAGAGTCTCCAAAGATTTCCAGGAAAACAGCCCTAAAGACCAAAGAACTCCAGCGGGAGAGTCTACTGCCTTACTGGTAGGTCCACTCGGCGTTCGACACGCAGTTTGACCCGGTAGTGGAGCCCACATCAGTAAGGGTTAGATTACAGTCAACCTGGGAGAAGTTAAAAAGGGGATTTTCCTTTAAAGAAGAAGTTATTGAAGACAGTTGCCTGTCCTTCGTGGGCAAGATTAGGAATTCACCAGTTGCCTAAAAGCTTGGAATCTTTTGTTTAACTTTACTGAAGACAAGAGAAGTTTCTGTTTGATTGTTCATTAATAAAGGACTTTGTTATACTTCACAAGCCATCTAAAGATCATTCGTGGAAGAAAACCTCTGAGAACTTCTCTTTGGGAACGTCTCCCCTGGCTTCCCGCTGGGAAAAGGTTGCACGTCCTGTCCTAAAGCGAGGCAGAACATAAACAGTGGGTGCCTGAGGTGTTGGCCATCTCGATGGGTGTTACAATTGTGGGTCTGATTTGGGAGTATGGAAGAGGGTGAGGGAGGAAAGAAAGGGGCCTGAGGCTGTTAGGAATTGTGGGAGTTGAAGTCCAAAACAACTAGAGGGCCAAAGTTTGTCCCTGTGTTGTAGATGCAGCTGAAAGATCCTTTCAAAAACCAACAAACAGGCGCAATAAACAGAAACGCTATCTGCTTGCCCAGTGTAGACTTAGCTTTTGCAAAACATGTTCTGGGACAAAATAGCCAACTCTGTAGATAAATAAACAGAATGTTCCAAAGTGTTTTTCCTATTTTTTGGAGGCCTTAAAGGGAGACCTCTGTCCTTGCTTTTTTTTTCTTCTGCAGGGTGTTTCCATGGACAATGTGGGTTTGTGTCCCTCAAAGCCGTGCCCTTGTGGCAAGCCTTTGGCCAAAGGAAGGGATTTGGTTATTATCCAGGGAGGAAAGGAGTCATGCGCTCGCTTTCCGTGGCTCCGCTGGGTTAAACATTGACAGAAAGGTCACAAAATGTTTCTGTTCTCAGAGAAGCGAGTCACTTTCGCACCATTTAGAAAGAGGCACAGTCAACACTTGCATGTATAAGGTAGACCGAATGCAGTTGCACCCTACTTTGGTTGCCTCCACTCAATGCCGTGGTATCCTGAGAGTTGTAGTTTGGAGAGGCTAAAGACCTTGCAAAACTACAAATCCCACCATTCCATACCATTGAGCCATGGCAGTGAATAGGTGTCAAATGGCATTCCCTCTACAGTGTCGATGTGTCCCTTGTTTTGGGCCAGCCATGTTCTTTCCCAAATTATATCTACTGTTTCTTTTACAGGATCCAGAATCAATAAGAAGAGTATTCAGCGCCCAGAGAGCAAAAAGGTAAACTCTTTCCCAAGAGATGCAATGCCAGTTGTGAAAACATACTAGACCTGGGTGCATCTACTCTGTAGAATGAATTTGAATTGCATTATATGGCAGTGTAGAGCCAACCTATATTTAAGTCTATTTTAGTGTTTATATACTGTAGGTTTCTAATTATAAATTCTATTTTTTCAGTGTTATAAGCTGCTTTGAGTCTTGCTTAAGAGAGGAATGTAGGGAATAAATGATGATGATGGTGATTGTGGTGATGGTGATGATGATAGTGATGACAATGGTAATGGTGGTGACGATGGTGATGATAATGGTGATGACAATGGTGATGATGGTGATGATAATGGTGACGACAATGGTGATGATGATGATGATGACACTGATGATGGTGGTGACAATGGTGATGACAATGGTGATGATGATGGTGATGACGATGGTAATGATGATGATGGTGATGACAATGATGGCGATGATGATGATTGTGACGATGATGGTGATGACGATGACAGTGAGGGTGATAATGATGACGGTGATGGTGGTGAGGATGATGACAATGAAGGTGATGACGATGACAGTGATAACGATGATGGTGAGGATGATAATGATGATGACGATAGTGGTGGTGATGATGGAGATGATAGTGATGACAGTGGTGGTGATGAGGATGATGACAATGAAGGTAATGACAATTACAGTGATAACAATGATAGTGAGGATGATAATGATGATGGTGATAGTGGTGGTGATGATGAAGATGATAGTGATGACAATGATGGTGATGAAGATGATGACAATGAAGGTGATGATGATGACAGTGATAACAATGATGGTGAGGATGATAATGATGATGGTGATAGTGGTGGTGATGATGGAGATGATAGTGATGACAATGGTGGTGATGAGGATGATGACAATGAAGGTGATGACAATGACAGTGATAACCATGATGGTGAGGATGATAATGATGATGGTGATGGTGGTGGTGATGATGGAGATGATTGTGATGACAATGATGGTGATGAGGATGATGACAATGAAGATGATGACGATGACAGTGATAACGATGATAGTGAGGATGATAATGATGATGGTGATAATGGTGGTGATGATGAAGATGATAGTGATGACAATGATGGTGATGAAGATGATGACAATGAAGGTGAAGATGATGACAGTGATAACAATGATGGTGAGGATGATGATGGTGATAGTGGTGGTGATGATGGAGATGATAGTGATGACAATGGTGGTGATGAGGATGATGACAATGAAGGTGATGATGATGATGACAGTGATAACGATGATGGTGAGGATGATGGTGATGGTGGTGTGGATGATGGAGATGACAGTGATGACAATTTATTTATTTATTTATTTGATGCACTTGTTAACCGCCATTCTCAGCCCATACGGGCGACTCATGGCGGTGTACAGTACACATAAAAGACAATTACAAAGGCCAGTATCAACAACATATAACTATACAACAATTACAGACTACACAAAAATCCGCTTCGTCTCTTAGTGGAATCATAGCCGGTCTCATATTCCTTGTACCATTCCAGTTCTCATTACCGTATTGTTTGTTGCTTAGCACTTAATTGAATGCCCTCTCGAACAGCCAGGTCTTAAGGCTTTTTCGAAAGGACATGAGGGAGGGCGCCTGTCTGATGTCTGCAGGGAGAGTGTTCCACAGCCGGGGGGCCACCACCGAGAAGGCCCTCTCCCTCGTCCCCGCCAGCCGTGCCTGTGATGCAGGCGGGATCGAGAGAAGGGCCTCCCCAGACGATCTCAAGGTCCTCGTGGGCTCGTAGGCCAAGATGCGGTCAGAAAGGTATTTTGGGCCGGAACCGTTTAGGGCTTTGTAGGCCAAAACCAGCACCTTGAATTGGGTCCGGTAGCAAATCGGCAGCCAGTGGAGCTGGGACAACAAGGGCGTTGTGTGCTCCCTGCCACCCGCTCCAGTTAGTAACATGGCTGCCGCACGCTGAACCAGCTGAAGCTTCCGGGCCGTCTTCAAGGGCAGCCCCACGTAGAGAGCGTTGCAGTAATCCAGGCGGGATGTGACAAGAGCGTGTACCACCGTGGCCAAGTCAGACTTCCCGAGATACGGGCGCAGCTGGCGCACGAGCCTAAGCTGTGCAAATGCTCCCCTGGTCACCACTGAGACCTGGGGGTCCAGGCTCAACGATGAATCCAGGGTCACACCCAGGCTGCGAACCTGCGCCTTCAAGGGGAGTGCGACCCCGTCCAGCACAGGCTGTAACCCTATATCCCGTTCGGCCTTACGACTGACCAGGAGTACCTCTGTCTTGTCTGGATTTAGTTTCAGTTTGTTCGCCCTCATCCAGACCGTTACAGCGGCCAGGCACCGGTTCAGGACCTCGACAGCCTCCTTAGTAGCAGGTGAAGGAGTGACAGAGTTGGACATCATCTGCGTACAGATGACACCGCACCCCGAAACTCCGGATGATCTCACCCAGCGGCTTCATGTAGATATTAAACAGCATGGGGGACAGTATGGAACCCTGTGGCACCCCACAAGTCAAAGGTTGTGGTGCGGAACAGGAGTCCCCCAGTAACACCTTCTGGGTGCGACCCTCCAGAAATGACCGGAGCCACTGCAAAGCAATGCCCCCAAGACCCATTTCCGCAAGGCGCCCCAGAAGGATACCGTGGTCGACGGTATCGAAGGCCGCTGAGAGGTCCAGGAGCACCAACAGGGACACACTCCCCCTGTCTAGCTCCCGGCGCAGATCATCCACTAAGGCGACCAAGACCGTCTCAGTACCATGCCCCGGTCTGAAACCAGACTGTGCCGGATCCAGATAATCCGTGTCTCTCAAGAATACCTGGAGTTGTGAGGCCACCACGCTTTCCATGACTTTGCCCAAGAAGGGGAGATTGGAAACAGGCCGAAAGTTGTCCAATTTAGTGGGGTCCAGTGATGGCTTCTTCAACAGCGGCTTTATAATAGCCTGTTTTAAGCTCGCTGGAATCTTGCCTTCCCGAAGGGAGGCATTAACCACCACCTCCACCCACTCAGCCAATCCCCCTCTGGCCTCTTTTAGAAGCCAGGATGGGCAGGGGTCTAGGATGGACGTGGTCGGCCTCATTCCTCCAAGTACTTGTCCACATCCTCGGGCTTCACCAACTGAAATGAATCCATCAAAATAGGACAAGCAGGTGCTCTTGTTACATCCTCAGAGACTGCATTTAACGCGGCGTCCAGCCCAGAACGGATCAAGGCGACTTTGTCTGCGAAGAACCGAGCAAATGCTTCACAGCGCGTGACCGAATTGTCAGGGCTCCCACCTGCAGTGGCGGGAGTTAAAAGACCTCTGACAATCCGAAACAACTCCGCCGGACGGTTCTTTGCAGACGCAATAGTGGCCGCAAAGAAAGTTTTCTTTGCGGTCTTTATTGCCGCGGCATATGCCCTAAGAAAGGACACAAACCGTGCTCGGTTTGACTCGCTCGGTTCCGAACGCCACACGCTCTCTAGTTCCCTCTTCCTTCGCTTCATAGCTGCCAGCTCCTCAGTAAACCAAGGGGCTGGTTTAGCTCGGCTACTTGAGAGGGGACGTTCCGGAGCAATCATGTCAATAGCCCTGGTCATCTCCCCATTCCAGAGAGCCACCAAGGCTTCGACATGGTCACCTACCGAGGTGGCAGGAAAATCCCCAAGAGCCGTCAGGAATCCATTCGGATCCATCAGCCTCCTGGGGCGGACCATCTTAATGGGTCCTCCACCTTTGCAGAGGTTAGGGGGCGCAGTGAGCCTAAATCTGACCAGGAAGTGGTCGGTCCATGGCAACGGAGAGATGGACAACTCCTCCACACCGCCACCCTGTTCCCATCCCTGACAGAAAACCAAGTCCAATGTGTGTCCAGCACAGTGGGTGGGGCCAGATATTTGCTGGGACAGCCCCATGGTTGCCATGGCAGACATGAAGTCCTGAGCCGCACCTGTGAGGGTCGTCTCGGCATGGACGTTGAAGTCTCCCAGCACAAGGAGCCGTTGAGACTTCAACGTCAGGCTCGAGACCACCCCCGCTAGCTCAGGTAGGGAGACTGTAGTGCAGCGAGGTGGACGGTACACTAACAGAATCCCTATACTGTCCCGGTCACCCACCCTCAGGTAGACGCTTTCAAAATTTGCGGTCTGCGGGATGGGGCACCTGGTCAGATGGATGGAATCTCTATAGACCACTGCGACCCCGCCTCCCCGCCCTCCGGATCTCGGTTGGTGCTGCACGGAGAAGCCTGGAGGACAAAGCTGGGTCAGATTTCCTCCTCCAGCTTCATCCAGCCAGGTCTCCGTGATGCACGCCAGATCTGCCCGCTCGTCCAGGATTAGGTCCTGGATCCAGGTCGTTTTTCCGTTGACAGATCTGGCGTTCAACAGCACCACCTTCAGTCCAGAGGGTCCGCTCACCTGGTTACACCAATTTACCTTAGGAGACCGAGTTGGAATTGTTAATGTTTTGGATAAATGGTCCGAATTTGGCCGAATTTGAGGTCTCCTTTTCCCGCATCTCCTCCTTCCCACCACGACCTCTATGGGGGCCCCTCGGCTAGTGGAACACCTCCCCTCCTCCATACCGCCGTTCTCGACCAGGGTCTTAATCTCTATTACATCAGATGTTTTAAGCGTTGGCGTTTTTTCTTGCCAGTTACTTTGGTCTTCTTTATCCCCCAATGAGGGTGATGAGGATGATGACAATGAAGGTGATGACGATGACAGTAATAACCATGATGGTGAGGATGTTAATGGTGATGGTGATAGTGGTGGTGAAGATGGAGATGATAGTGATGACAACGATGGTGATGAGGATGACAGTGAAGGTGATGACGATGACAGTGATGACAATGATGGTGAGGATGATGATGATGATAGTGGTGGTGATGATGGAGGATGATAATGATGATGATGATAATGATAATGGTGGTGATGTTAGTGATGACAATGATGGTGATGACGATGACAGTGATAACGATGATGGTGATGATGATAATGATGCTGGTGGTGGAGATGGTAGTGATGACAATTATGGTGAGAAAGACAGTGATAATGATGATGGTGATGTTGATAAGCCATGCTGTGACATTACATACTGTCTCCCATGTTGTTTAACATCTACATGAAGCCGCTGGGCGAGATCATCCGGGGTTTCGGAGTGCGATGTCATCTGTACGCAGATGATGTCCAACTCTGTCACTCCTTCCCACCTGTTACTAAGGAGGCTGTCGAGGTCCTGAACCGGTGCTTGGCCGCTGTGACGGTCTGGATGGGGGCGAACAAATTGAAATTGAATCCAGACAAGACAGAGGTACTCCTGGTTAGTCGCAAGGCCGAACAGGGTATAGGGTTACAGCCTGTGTTAGACGGGGTCGCACTCCCCCTGAAGACGCAGGTTCGCAGTTTGGGTGTGATCCTGGACTCATCGCTGAGCCTGGAACCCCAGGTTTCGGCGGTGACCAGGGGAGCATTCGCACAGTTAAAAATTGTGCGCCAACTGCAATCGTACCTTGGGAAGTCTGACTTGGCCACGGTAGTCCACGCTTTGGTTACATCCCGTCTTGACTACTGCAACGCTCTCTACGTGGGGTTGCCTTTGAAGACAGCTCGGAAGCTCCAATTAGTCCAACGGGCGGCAGCCATGATACTAACAGGAGCGGGGCGCAGGGAGCATACAACTCCCCTGCTGTACCAGCTCCACTGGCTGCCGATCTGCTACCGGGCCCCATTCAAAGTGCTGGCGTTGGCCTTTAAAGCCCTAAACGGTTCTGGCCCAACATATCTATCCGAACGTATCTCGGCCTATCAGCCCACCAGGACCCTAAGATCTTCTGGGGAGGCCCTGCTCTCTATCCCGCCGGCTTCACAGGTGCGGCTGGCGGGGACGAGAGACAGGGCCTTTTCTGTGGTGGCCCCTCGGCTTTGGAACGCCCTCCCCATAGAGGTAAGATCAGCCCCTTCGCTGATGGTGTTTCGAAAAAGACTGAAGACATGGATGTTCGAACAAGCATTCGGTTAATCCGGTGCAATGAATTTGATGATCAAGGATTGGTAATCACAGACGATGAAATTGGATTGCGATTTTAGTTAAGAGATGCATTGGTTTGTTATTGGTGGCCCAATATTGTGTATTGTGTATGTGTTTTTATGCTTTTTAAACTGAATATTGTTGATTATTGTAGTGTTGTAAACCGCGTTGAGTCGCCAATGTAGGCTGAGAAACAGCGGTATACAAGCGCAGTAATAAATAAATAAATAAATAAATACATCTTCATATTTTCCATCTCCAGGGCTTTGAAGTGGCTCCGGTTTACGATGAGGTCTCCGAGTTCCCCGTCTATGCCAGTGTGAGCAAGCCCAAACCCGTCAAGCGCGAGGACAGCAGCGTCCACTATGCGGACATCCAGGTCTTCAGCAAAGTCCGGCAACGTTCGGCCCATGAGGTGAAAGGCCTGCAGAGCCAGGGTGCCACTGAGTACGCCACCCTCAACTTTCCCCGCACCACCCCAAAATACGACAGCAAGAACGGGACGCTGGTGTAGTTTTCCTGATTGCTCTGGTCATCATTATAATGTATGTCAACATGGAGGCGTCCTGGATTTTGAGCCGGGTGTCTGGATACGTTTGACATCTCCAGCACTTGTGACCATTTTGGAAACTTTAATACTTTAATATCTACCAAAACCGTTCCTCCGGTGTGCCAAGGAAAAGACTATTTGGGACGAAATAACAGGAGATCAACTGAAAGACAATGGAGCCTCTCTTGTTGTCCCTTTTAGGGCACATAGGTACGAGATGAAACAAAACTGGAAAGCTTGGAGCCAAAAGCGCTGTTTTCTGGAAACGCCTTTCTTTGCAAAACCAACCATTGCCCTGCTTCTATTAATGCATCGGCGACATCCATTGTGACGTTATGTTTGGAGAGTACGATTAAGGAAATGCTATGAGAGTGGCTGAATAAATAGATATATAACTAGCTGTCCCCTGCCACACGTTGCTGTGGCCCACATTAGGGTTCTGTGTAGGAGGTTTGGCCCAATTCTATCATTGGTGGGGTTCAGAATGCTCTGTGATTGTAGGTGAACTATAAATCTCAGTAACTACAACTCCCAAATGTCAAGATTCTATGTTCCCCAAACTCCACAAGTGTTCACATTTCGGCATATTGAGTCTTCGTGTAGAGTTTGGTCCAGACCCATCATTGTTTGAGTCCACAGTGCTCTCTGGATGTAGGTGAACTACAACTCCAAAACCAAAGGACACTGCCCACCAAACCCTTCCAGTATTTTCTGTTAGTCATGGGAGAACTGGTGTCAAGTTTGGTTCAATTCCATCGTTGGTGGAGTTCAGAATGCTCTTCGATAGTAGGTGAACTATAAATCCCAGCAACTACAACTCCCAAATGACAAAATCAATTTTTTTTTGGAGAGAAGGACATACATTGGGTTGTTAGGTGTCTTTAGTCCAAACTTGGTGTCAATATCCCCCAGTGGTTTTTGAGTTCTGTTAACCCCACAAACGAACATTACATTTTTATTTATATAGATTATCTCAAATGGTTGATGCAATTGGATAAACACAGACTTGGGATTTTTCCCTTCCTTCCTTTTAATTTTCTGCAATTAAAAAAAATACAGAAAAGACTCTTGCAGAAGGATCTGTCGCTGCAATGCATTTAAAATATAATGAAATGTCGTTCGGAGAAAGGGAAATGGTGCCGAGGCTTTGCTTGTTGGAAGGCATGTGTAACAGATCAAATGCTAACATTTAATGTGTTTGGAAACGATATCCTTTGATTACTATTATTATTATTATTATTTGCACCGAATGGTTGGACTCACAGTGAAACAGCGTGAGCTTATATATATATTGCAATACAATAACTGGAAATTAATGACTTGCAGTCTTCCTCAAGACAGTTCCAAACATCATCTCAAACAATTATGTTTCTGGGTTGTTGTAGGTTTTTTCGGGCTATATGGCCATGTTCTAGAGGCATTTTCTCCTGACGTTTCGCCTGTATCTATGGCAAGCATCTTCAGAGGTAGTGAGGTCTGTTGGAACTAGGAAAAAGGGGGTTTATATATCTGTGGAATGACCAGGGTGGGACAAAGGACTCTTGTCTGATGGAGCTAGGTGTGAATATTTCAACTTAACAACTTGATTAGCATTTGATTGCCTGGCAGTGCCTGGAACAATCTTTTGTTGAGAGGTGATTAGATTATGTTTCTAGTCCTCAAGGCGATAGAAATAATACTTCTAAGAGTATTGCTAAAATATGCTTGTTTCCAGGTGGAGCTAGGTGTAAATGTTTCAACTGACCACCTTGATTAGCATTTGATTGCCTGGCAGTGCCTGGAGCAATCTTTTGTTGAGAGGTTATTAGGTTATGTTTCTCGTCCTCAAGGTGATAGAAATAATAGTTCTAAGAGTATTGCTAAAATATGGTTGTTTCCATATTATTGCAGTTTGATACCATTTTAGCCACCCCGACTTTGGGTAGAGATGGCTAAAGAAGACCTTGGGAAACTACAGCTCCCAGGGTCCCACATCATGGATCCATAACAGTTTAAAGCGGTATCAAACTGTACTCATTCTACAGTGTAGATGCCCCGTTAGGCCACTTAAGGACATATATTTCTGTATCAAAGACACTTTCCATATTACATATCTCAATGGCTTAATTGTAATAATGGATTTTAGAGGTTTGGCTGGGACTAAATGTTTTGATTCTACTCCAATCTCTGCGATTAACGTAAATGACATTTTGCCACGTCTCAATTCCCGAAGAATATCTCTGTTAAATCCCTTTTAAAAATCTTACTCATGTTTACCTTCCTTTGGGTAAGCTTTAAGGTCCTTAAATAAGAGACATGACGGATAAAAACGCGTTACTCTGACGAATATTGTACAAAGGAAGGCGATTCCTGTTCATCTAACGCAACCACAAAGCTGAAAAAGCACAGAAATCTGTATATATATCTTTATTATTCTGATTTGTACAATAAAGAGCTGGATAAGAAATGCCCGGAAAGCCTTTTTTTGGTAGAATATTTTGGTAGGAAATAAATATTTTTCAAATAATTAAGAAACATAGGGATTGCTCTGGTTGGTTGGAAGATGCGTCAACAGGAAGGAAGTTTGTGGTTTTCATAATAATATAACAAATAATAATAATAATAATTATTGTAAAGAGACGGCTACCAGGTGGTAAAAGATCGCCACCAATTAGTGAGGAAGACCCTTAGGTTTAGGAGAGAGGAGCCACCGATTTGTAAAAGGCTCTGGTATTAATACCACTGGATGCCACCCTGTTTGTGTTGTGAGGTAATTTTGGGAGATTGGGTACACGAACGTATTTATTTATTTATTTATTTACTCTATTTGTATACCGCATATATCAGCCTGAGGCGGCGACTCAATGCGGTTTAGAATTAATGGAGATGAGGCAGTTTCAAAAACTAAAGAGAACAAGTTTATTTTGAAACAAAGCGTATGGTTGCAGTTTGATGTTAAGCTTGGCAAATACTTGGAGAACGTTACATGTAACTTGATTGCGATACAGTTCAGACTTCCGATGTTACAACTTATAAAACCCTTGCTGTGGTGAAGCACTTTATTAAACAATGTTTTCTGTGGTGAATAGTCTCCCTGCTTGATCTATCCTTGATCAAACAACAGATCTCTAGTCTTCTCCCGACTAGCGATCTTAACAGCCTCTGTTAGTTCTTTCTAACTAAAGCAACTAACAAGGTTTTCCCCTTCAGCTTCCTAACTGAAGAAATCTCTACTATTCACGAACACTGAAACCTGACTCTTCACTTCTCAGAGTCTCAATCCTGACCTGCTCTTCCCTGAGCCTAAAACCCTGACTGACTCTAACTGTCACTTTTCAAAAACCTTAACTCTCTAAGCTCCTCCCACCTCCTCTTCTGCCTCGTTTCCATGGTAACACATTCCTAACAGCTAGGCCGCTCCAGCCTAAGGGCAACCAATGCAAACATAAATACAGTTATAAGCATATTATTATAAACACTTCTGTACAAATCCCTTTTAAAAATCTTACTCATGTTTACCTTCCTTTAGGTAAGCTTTAAGGTCCTTAAATAAGAGACATGACGGATAAAAACGCGTTACTCTGACGAATATTGTACAAAGGAAGGCGATTCCTGTTCATCTAACGCAACCACAAAGCTGAAAAAGCACAGAAATCTGTATATATATCTTTATTATTCTGATTTGTACAATAAAGAGCTGGATAAGAAATGCCCGGAAAGCCTTTTTTTGGTAGAATATTTTGGTAGGAAATAAATATTTTTCAAATAATTAAGAAACATAGGGATTGCTCTGGTTGGTTGGAAGATGCATCAACAGGAAGGAAGTTTGTGGCTTTCATAATAATATAACAAATAATAATAATAATAATAATAATAATAATAATAATAATAATAATGTATGGTTATGATATAGTTTAAAATATAATAACAAAACAATAATATACAAATAAATATAATATAATATAATTTATTTATTAAGTAAGGAGCGAACCAATCGGTTGTATTGCATTAAACAAACAAATAAACAAACAAACAAAACACAAAGTTTGCAAACTTGTTGTTTGATATAATATAATTGAATATTACAATCTAATAATATATAATAATATTAACAAAACAATAATATACAAATAATTATAATATAATATATTATTTATTTATCGAGTCAGGAGCAAACCAAACAGTTGTATTGCATTAAACAAACAAACAAACAAAACACAAAGTTTGCAAACTTGGTATCTATATATATAAATTTGTTAGGGGCATCCAACGAGGAAACAAAACTCAAAAACCCCCCAACGAAACTTAACCAAAATTCCTATGCCCATAACACAACCCACAAGGTACAAACATATCTACTCAAAATGAAAAACAACACAACAACACACTCACAAAACGGCAAAACAACAAAACTCAAAAATCCCCCAACGAAACCTAAC